GAAGAATTATTTGATGTGCGATTCTGAGGCAGCCTACTGGTCTTACTTGTAATTCTGACTGTTAGGGTGCGCAAACTACCCGGAGGGATGCCACGAGGAGGAGCACCGACACTACTGCCAGAACCAGTAGTCCCTGATGTGGTGTCTGTGGTGCTGTTGCTTGCTGTAGTGGTTGTGTTGCTCGTGGTAGACTCTGTGGTAGTTGTGGAGGAGGAGGAAGTGCCAGCTGTTCCTGTGTTGGTGGAGCCAGACATTCCACTGCTGGAACCCCCACGTGCCAGAGAGGACAGGGCTGAAGCTACGGCTGCTGAAGCAGCCTGTGCAAGACCACCTGCCAGACTGCTGTTTATTGCACCCATCATGGGAGGGGTCATGGATGCTGGGACCATTGCAGTTGGGTCCATACTGAAGGAATACAAAAAAAGAGAGTTACTATTAAGATTAAGATATTCTTTTTTTCAGATGACAACACTGACTATCAAAAGAAAGAAAGAAAGAAAGATGATATACAGTAAGTCCCATAATGGACATAATGGGGACTGAGAGGCTGTTCGGAAGTCAATTTGACTGTATGTCGAAAGTCGGGTCTCCTTTGCCTTTTTCCCCATTGTTTTAAAGTTTTGTTTACATTAGGAATACCTGTACATAAATCGTTAAAGTTTCTTGGTACTTCCACTGGCTTCACCGTTTATCTTTCACTTCACACCCGACATTTTTGATGGATTGATGCACCGGTAAAGCGAATTATGGCACAAAAATTGTTGGTACACAAGGACACAGTGAAGAAAGGCTTTCGTGTTTATGGCGGGAGGGCAGGCGAGTGATGCGCACAGCTGAGTGAGCGCAGCAGACTCATGATCTATATTCGCGCCCGGGAAATTTGAAGTTTGATAGCATCTTTCAAACTATTTTTTTGACTTAAGTATTTAAAAAAAAAGTTTGTATGTATTGAATATGCGTAAGTGGAATGTTCTTATGTAGGGGACTATCTGTATATATAAATGATCCACAAATCTCTACGAACCAGAGCAATCATAGATTTCCCACTTTGCGGCACTTTTAACTTACTTATTTAGAGCATCCATCTCTGAGTACAGTGCTTCCATCTCATCACTGGGTGGTGTTGTGGCTGTACTAGAAGCTGTGGCCACACCTTCATCTGACATTGATTCACCTGCTACTGGCCGTGTATCTTCTACAGCATCAGTCTCCATGGCTCCCCTTTCTCCTCTGGCATCATCAGCCTATTCCATCATATATAACTATTAGTATTCAAATATTTCAAATTGAATGCCTTACATTAACCTGTATTTTACAAGCAAGATGGATGATAAATACAGAAAAAATATATTCTTTTTCTATATCCAAAAAGCATACACACATACTACCTGAACTGGACTGCTAACTTGATCATTATCTGAGGTTGATTCTGTGGAGGGTGTTCTTTCCTCTCCTGAGCCAAGTCTGCGATCCATTTGGTCAAGGACATTTGATGCACGCTCCAGCATTGTCCTGGCTTGGTGTAGCCGGACACCAGATGAGCTAGGGCCTTGTGTTGGTGGAACTGGATGACAATAGCAATGTTAATAAAAATACAATAAGGAAAGGGTTTCACACACACAACTTTGAAAACGAGAAAGGTGATAAAACTTATGATGCTCAAACAAAATCCCACATGTTATCAAAAATGGGTTAGATTAAAAACTTTTAAAACAATGGAATAGTAATTCTAGCACATATTATAGTAGGAAATGACCAAATGATTTTTAATAAATGATAATTAAGTGGCTTTTATGCCAAATGAAATTTGCCAAGATCATGTGTATACATCTCTTTACATGGTAAACAAATATCCCAGACATAGTCTAATAAACTTCCCTGCGTTCACTGGAGCTTTTCTGCACAGTACCCTTGCCACTGAAACTTGTCGTTGAGAGATGAATTGCTCTTCTGATTGAGACTAATAAGGGCTCAAAACCATTGTACAAGACTTCCATATCACATACACATTATTGTCTAAAAAAAAAAGAAAAAAAAAAGAAAGGCAAAAAGAAATATATGTAGCAGTTCAGGCGCATTTACTTTTGAGGCTCTAAGTTGGCGGCCATTTTGGTTGTTTACAAACAGCCACGAGGTGAAGAAAACTACATCTAACCCCTCGCCCTGTTCGCTACATAGAATCTTGGGTTGAGCATTCACTTGATTTTATTTTGCAACACATAGTGCACTTTGCCCAAGGGAACGCAGGGATTATTTTTCTCTAAACCAAATTAATTTGATTTATCTATGCAATTAGATCCTAAACTCATCACGTTTACACAGGCATTCACTCATCCATATTCTGTTCTGATACTTCTATAATAATCCTGTTTGAATGTATCATTCAGTTACCAAGATTATGTGGACTAATTATTACATTTTACCAACAAATATGGTTATCAAAAAAATTACAAGATATGTCAAATCATTCACAGAGATTATAAAAGCGACAGAGCCAAATTTCACATCTGACTACCCTTAACTATTTGCAAACTCACAAGGTTAAGTAATACATATAAATATAACAGGAAAACCTCTAAATCTTGGTTTCAGCAGATCTACTTACAGTTTTTCATATCACTATATAAGTGTTTAATATACATCAATAAAATGAAACAAAACTGACTATCATGTAAATCTAAGTAAAGTCAACGGTCTTTATGATCACACATGTAAAGTACACTTCACTATATTTTATCTGGTAACATTGTTTAGTAGCCAAAAAAGCCTGTGATTGGTTAAGACTCCCTAGATTTTAACATTCCAAATATGTAGCTACTGATGTATCAAGTGGCTAGAATCATATTGAAACCCTCTCATTGAATGACTCATTCATATTTAAATTTAGATCCCAAGGAATAATTGAACAGCATATGTGTTATAGAGGAAAAATTTATACAACTGCCGTAACTGGCTACTAACTGGTCTATCAATATGTAAGCCTCCACTATATAAATTACGTGGTTCTATTTCAGCAGAACAACTGATAAGACTAACAATATATACATGTCCTAATGTGTGACAGAAGAAAGCAAGTTAAAATCCATGAACTTGAAAGGGTAATATGCAAGCTTGAGCAAGATAGTGTTCAGTGATTTCAATCGTAATTCTTGTGACTTAGCATTAAGAATACTTTTCCTGTCTCATCATATTCATTTTATCTGTCTATATCTTCATCTCATTATCACTATCCTTTCCTTTCCCTCAATTCTCAAACCATATCCACCTTCCTCTCTCACTCCCCTCTTAATTCCCATTTCAACTAGCTTTCCTTCTTTTCTTATACCCATTCTCCCATTCCCCATTTCCCTTCTTCCTGGTCTTCTTAGGATATTTTTCCACATCTCTACCCCTACTCCCTCTCATTTCCTCTATAAGTGTTATACATCAAATTAGATACCTTGGTATTACAAGTGCTACTGTTTATATCAAGAAAATTGTATCATATAGGTTATGTTGTTTTTCCTTTCATATTTCACATTAATCCCTTAATGACAGCATTAGAAATATCTTGGAGGCTTCTGGCAACTGTCTTTTTGGCCTGGGAGTCCATTCATATAGCAGAGCTTTCTGCTAAGCGCGCTCTAATGCGTCACAATGCCTAGAGCCATACCCATGAGTCAGTGTGACGAGTCAGTTTGTTATGACGGCTTTGAGGAGGCCCGGCAAATATGGGTTAAAATGGTAAAATAGTTGAATGTAGACATTCTGTATGAGATACTATTCACATATCTCTAACATATATAACAACAAAGTAATGTCATTTCGTAAAAAGTGTGCCATAATACCAATACATATTTATATTAGTATAACAGAAGGCCTGCCAAACAATATTGCCAGATAAAATTTGGTGACAGTTTGGAGACATGTATGGTCGTAAGTGCTCCTGACTATACAGTCAGTGAAAGTAAATTAACATACACTAACTGTGAATACAGATCTGAATCAGCACACATGCATCTCTCACAGCACATGACACAACACACCTATGGGCTCATTATCTTCAGGTACAACAAATGATCCAAGAAGGACCTGTGCACCTTCTACTCCTGGCTGGCGACGAATGTGGTGGTGGTGGTGGTGGCTGCTCCCTGTGGCTCCGTTGCTGGAGGAGCTGGCACCTCCACCTGCAGTGCGACTGTTGGCCTGCGGGGGGGCTCTCATCACCAGGTGCACAACTTTTTCATGCACATCTGCAGAAGAGACATCATTCAGATCCAAATTTGTGACAAAAAAATATACTATAGCTCATTCTAACTTCCTTTTTTTGTATTCTTTGCAGTCTTTCATGAGGGAAGAAAACTAAATTATCCTAGGACCTAGAACACTTAAATTGAGATTCAAATTTACCTTTGATACATGTTATGTTAGGACAATGTAATTCAATGAAAATCAAAATTACTTAAAAGTACAATAATTTTTTCTGTAATTCTTGTCATCTAATAGGATTATGATCAAACTATAACAGCAAATAATACTGGAAAATCAGCATGCAACTTACTATAATCTGCAAGTTTCTTATCATCCTGTAAAACACGACCACAGTAGATCAGTCGCTGTTTGTCTGCTGGGATGCTCACGGAAGATGCTATCCTATCCTTGAATTGCTTTACAGTGATCTGAAAAAAATCCCTTTACCTGTATTTACATAAACTAATTTTCAAAAAATCTTAACAAAATCTAAATGCTTGAAGGATAACTAATGAAAATATAGGACAGTACTAGTGTTACTCTACTTACATCATCTGGAACTGAGAACCTGTGATTCTGGGAATCCAGGGTTTTAACCGTGACGTCTATCATCTTGGTGGTTCTTCAAAATTGTACTGCAATAAATAAAAACTCTTATGAAACAATCATACTTATAATGACCAGACAAAGCTGTCAGTATCTAAATCAGTAAAAAATGACTCACATGGAAGGGCCTGGCATGGTGAAATGTACATCCACTGCTGTTGTGTAACCCAGTGATATATTTTATATATATTTATATATATTTATATATATTATATATATTTATATATATATATATATATATATATATATATATATATATATATATATATATATATATATATATATATATATATATATACATTTTTTTTTTTTATATGATCAAATGATCAATTAAAAGACTCTGTGTAACAGAAATTAAACAACCACAGGGAATATGAAAAAGACTATCATTTAAATTAATATTTTCTTTTTTTCTATAATTACATCAATGTTTATAATTCAAAATTTCTATATCATAAACAATAGTCAGAAAAACTGTAGGTTTCACCGCACTTCAAGTGGCTGTATTCTAATAGTGACACACACACACACACACACACACACACACACACACACACACACACACACACACACACACACACACACACACACACACACACACAAAAAAGTTAAAAGCAGAAAAAAATGAGCTATCTCTGATGAGCCACTGGTGCTATGTATGTCATTATGCAATGCTGTCCGTGACTCAATCCACCACAGCCATTACATGATATCATGCCATCATCAGTCAGAGTTATCAGTTATCAAGAATTTCAAGACACTGTCAAACTTGAAATGGATTATCTAACTATTTTCATTTATCAACAGATATATACCATTCATTTTAGCCAATAAGATATCAGCAGGTCTCCAGCTGCCAACTAGTATGGTTTACTGTTAACCCTAAAGGACTGCAACCCCTCTCTGCCAGCCACCAAAAGTGTCTGATTATTCAAAATTTCACAAAGGCAAATTTTGGTTTCCAAAATTCAAAGAACTCAACTTTACATACCAGGAAATTGATTTTTCATGGCCATACCTTAAATAAAGTGAGTGTCAGCAGAGCACAAAGTTGAAAAGGATATCTTGTGTATAAATAAAAATGGGGGAATTACAATATGTAAATAAAACAGTTTAAAAAACCCTATACCAGAAATTATATATCTAACTGAACTTCTAAGTATCTAGACATATACACAGTAAAGACATTTATGTACCAGAAGTTCACCCTAATACACAGTACAGTAGTACTGAGTGGGGAGGGGGGTGTGGGTGGAGGAAAAGATTTATGGTTTGCTGGATGAAAATATCCTATACAGCACCAGAATTAATACCTCACACTTGCAAGGCTTCATTCATATGATAATAGAGGCAAGAAAACACAACAAATAACACAAGGCAAGACAGGTTTTCTTGATATTCAGTTTTATTGGAAATATGGTTAAGTGCAAAGGATCACACACAATATTTCCTTCTGAATTTAGAATATAATAGAGGACTGCATGGGCGTCAATATCCATGGAACACCTGCCTGGACACGCCAAGCAAGCCCCTAAAATTCCTAAATAAGGCCCTAAGTCGCCCCCCCACCCTGCAACAAGGGACCAGCCTCAAAAACCCCTTTAACGGCCAAGTCGCTAAAAAAAAAGCTGTGGCAGAAGAGACCTCCCCCCCCAAAAAAAAACTTCCGGACACATCGTTAACGGAACTCTGACACGAAAAACTTCCCCTAAAATCCAAACTTCCCCCAAAATCCATTAAAAATACCCTCTTTATGACGAAAATATTTGCGTCTCTTCTAACACACACCTGCCATCTCCAACACACACGCACGCATTTATAGGCCTACATCAAAAAAACCTTCATGGCAGCCTCTTTGCGTGGAGTCGTATGCCCAGACGAGAGAAAACATGAGGAAAAGGTTCCACAGACAAAAAAAAGGAAGAAAGAAAAGAAAAAAAAAGAAAAAAAATATGGGGCCGAAGTGATGTTGTGCTCCATAAAAGCGCGACACAAAACATATTTCCTTCTTATCTATCCTATTCCTTCCTTTCTTTCTCCTTCCCCTTTTATCCCCTCATCATCCAAGCACCCCAATAAATGCCCCAAATGCCCCAAAACGCGCCTCAGCACTGACCTAAAGCGTCGAAATGAGCATCAATGTTGTTGTGTGAGTGACGGCGAAGGGAACAGCTGACGGCTCGGGGGCTGCGAGGCCAAGGGAAGGGCGGGATGCGCACGCGGCCTCTAATTCCTCTAATTCTTCTAATTTCACCTAATTCCGGTGCAGGTGATTAATTCATTCTGATTAATACATTCTGATTAATTCATTCTGATTAGTTCATTCTGATTTCTAATTCTTCTAATTTCACCTAATACCGGTGTAGGTGATTAACTCATTCTGATTAATTCATTCTGATTTCTGATTCTTCTAATTTCACCTCATTCCGATGTAGGTGATTAATTCATTCTGGTCCATTCATTCTGATTAATTCATTCTAATCTAGGTGATTGGGGATCAAATCTACCCATTTTCCAGACTCTACGAAAGGAGGCATTCCCGTTGCGTCACGTCCCGGAAGGAAGGATTTAGTTATCAGTTATCACATCATTAATTCCCTTAAAAAATGACTCTTCGTGATTATCAACGAATCCATTAAACTAAAGATTCTTATCGGGACTACA